TGGTGCACTGCGTATTAGCTTTCACAGTTAATGGTTTACTGCGTTCACTTCCAGTTTGTGTGAACATTTCCATTCACAGGAAAGAAAACAGTCCAGGGAGAAGGAAGGTCTTCATAACCACAAATTACATTTTTACACAATATAATGGAAGGCTATCATTATTCTTGTAGGCAGTAATTTTTCCTTTTAGCAACACCCTCTCAGACACAAACCTACAATTACACAGTGACGCGGGAGCGAAGCTCTGTCACTGAACGCTGACCAGCTTCACAGAAGAAGCTCACTTTCTAATGCAAGCTTCACAATATCTGCACAACAAGAGATAAGACTTCAGTTTAGTGCGAGCAGAAATAGCAAGTGTTTCACCCTAATTTTGTGTACGACCTTAAGTAGCTGAACAAAAACCAGCTGATTCAACAGCTGAGCTCACCTCTGGCAGATTGGCACAGTTGGATTTGACGTCATATTCAATGTAGGCAGCCTCCACTCCTGCTTCTTTACCCATCTGGGTATAGCAAAAGTCTCTGGTGGAGTTGATCCTGCGGTCCACATCTTCAAGGTTAAACATGCAAAGAGCCGACTCCTCGCTGGGCCGATTTGAAGCCAAACGAGTGGAGAAAACACCAACTAGCGTCTCTGAAGCCCGGCCCCCTACGTCTTCTTTGGACACGCCCAGCTGGACAGCTTGCAAGAGATTGTAAATTTTACCCGTCCTTGAACGACATGTCAGCGGTACTTCCACATAGGAGTAATAGGCCTGATCATCCAAACACACGCGAGAGATGTAGGTACGGTACTCGCGCGACGGCGACTTTAGGTCCCTTCTGTAGAAAAGGAAGTACACGTGCTGACGGTGGGCGAATGAGGCAACGAAATTATGATCGTACTCTGAGAGGCGGCCAGCCACGGCCAACTTGGCAGTCTCTTCGTAGGAAAAGATGGGATCCTGGGCGAGGTTTCGCGTGGAAATAGGCGGATGGCTGCTGGTGTAACCCCGACCCACAAACAAAACGGGCTGCTTGTCCGGATGAGAGCGAACCACAAGCCCAACAGTACTAACATTAGGGTGATTCGCCGCTACGTACTGAGTATCCACCGGCCTCTCTGTGGAAAAAAGCACCTGATCCACAGAATCCAGGCTACGCTTCTGGCAAATTCCTTGGTTGACACTGCCGCAGGTTATAAGTTCCATAGAGTAAGGATTGACCAACAAGAGCTTGTTGTGGTTGCTAGTTTCTCGGGCCTGAGGACAGTTGGTCTCAGTTACAGGAGGTAAGCAATCCCGGCTGTCTGTGACGGGGCCTGTGGCATCCTGTAGCTCAGGTTGGAGGGAGGGATCCAACTGGAACAGGCGATTTCGGGCCCCGACGTAGACCCGACCCACGTCGGGGTCAGGATGCAGGGCCAGGTGCTCAAACAGAGTGTCATTTCGGATAAACGTAGGATAAATATTGGATGGGAATGAGTCTGATCCTTGGACAGTGCCAATAGGGAATAACATTAAGGGACAGCCAGTGGCCAGCAGCAGGAGAGAAAGCAGCGTTTTGACTGCTGACGATGAAAGACGCACCATCCCCAGAGGCATGGCGGCAGAGCTGAGGGAAAGAACAAAACACAGGATGTCAGAGAATATCCAGACACAGAAGTTAAATCCTGGATTCACACATAACAGAACTTACTTTAGAAACCATCCACCATCTATTTTTAATCTCTTTTTGACAACAATTATGATTTGAAACACAAGACCTTACTGAACTTTAATGTTTAGTGGTGCATATATTAATATTAATCATGACCTAGTTGTCCTTTATTTGCGAAGGACAACAAATCAGAGAAAAGTTATCTCAACATGAAAGTGAAAAACATCTTTTTTAGGCAGATGAGCTCAAAGACTCAAGACCAACACAGATAATTTTTGAATTGTGAATCATGCAAAGCTACTGTAGTGGAGCCCAATTGTAAAACATCTCATGATGAGCTCTCTCAAGACCTTTGCAACCTTATTCTTGTAAAACATACTGATGGGATTTGTTACAGAAGAATTTCTAAACTGCTGAAGGTACCAGTGAGCATTGTTGAGACCATAATCCGGAAAAGCCGGCCTTTAATTAAGTATTTAATTAAGTTAAATAATTAAAAGCCGGCCTAACTTAATTTATGGACGTCTATGGTTTGATGTCTTTGCATGTGTGGATTGGACGTGTGGTTACCAACATCTGGTAAGACTTT